ACCAAAGCAGTAGGTAAATAATGTTGGTTCTCGGAAAGCACATTCTTTGCTACTCACAGAAAGTCCAAACGAACTTTCATCTGTCTGCGCCTCGTGTCACTGTCTGAAACCTCGCTTCGCTGCTGATCATACCTTGGAGACGGCTGATGCAGAACCTGCCCTTGGCGAGGTTCTTCGGTTCTTGCTGTTTCCTGCCCTCACTGTCGCGTTCTGTCGATGAGGATCGTCGCCATGACCATCGGCGGGGGTCGCCGCTTTCACACTTGCCTGAAAAAATGTAAATGTCTCGCCGAGTGCCGGGCGACTCTGGTAACAGTTCGAACCGCAGCTTCAATCGTAAAGCGCGCGTTTCGTTCTTCAGTCTGAGTAATCGTCATTTCCGATCTAGGCCATACACGAAACCTGTATTTTGTTGGATAACGCAACAATGTCGCGCTCTGGACCGAGTCGAAAACTAGGTTTTCCTTCCACAAATGAATTAATGTGAAAAGTTGAACACAACTCTTGCCAGCAACACCGGTGAGTTCATGGCTACATAGCTCTTACACTGAAATACACAACGTCAATCCACCAACTGCAGCACCTCGTAACAAAGTAATAACCGAATTGACGAAACTCACTCCTCATGCTAACACTTCGTCTCAGTCATCATCGTGATCAGTTTTATTAACTTGTGATGCGGCACATAAATCTACCACTCATATGAGCCATCTGCTTCATCACCCCTCTGATCCGACCGATGCACAGAGCGGATAGCAGGTAGTTCAAAGCTTAATTTTTAGCCTCAGTGGCACTGTCGACGGACAGGTGGATTGTGAAAGAAGCAAGACGCAGTGCGGTTACATTTTTAGACACCGACTAATGATGCACAATAGTCGGTCTGTATAGCAGCAGTCGTGTAAATTGATCCTTTCATTTACGCCTTGAGGTTATACAGCATCTGCTTGTTCACTGCATGGAGAAATGCTGTCGTAAAAAATCTCTCTGAAATGCTACTGTAGCTCACTTGTCAGACAATTTTAGATCTCCCGAAGTAGTATAGTGACTTTGACATTATCCAGCTTATACAGGGAACAGTTATTTAGCCTTAACCAACAGTGAGAATGACAAACGTCATCCTCATCTTAGAATGATGATGATTTGAATGTGCAACTTCAGAAAAGTTGATTCATGAATTACTTAATTCTTCCATTTATGAAGTCCCCCATTCCTTTCCGGTCACGTGCAAAGGAGGTTTATAATTTTTTCAACAGTCCACATCCTGAACCGTTAGTTAAATCTCAGTGTTTTAAATGCATGGCACGGAAGTGCCAAATAGTGATCAATATGCTTCGGTCATCTGCTCGCCTGCGACGTGACTTTGCTAGGAGCGAGAATCCGTGTTTCGAATTCGACTTACTTCCTTGTTCGAGTGTGTTTTCGATGACTTTGCTATGCCGGATTTCCTAGCTCTTGATTCTCCGGCTAAGATGAAAGATTTTATTTCCTCTCCATACTTTTTTTTATCAACCTTTTAGTACCATGCAGCTTTGTCATTTGCTTGGTCCATGAATCGACATCCTCAATTCAGTGGCGTACGGAAATAATAAAATAATTTTGGCACGCTGTCGTTTGGATTTAATACAAACGGTGCCTCCTCCAACCCTTCCATCTGTGTCCGTTTTTAAAATGTCCTTATTTTCGCAATATCTGCGTTAAGCGCCTTAACGAGATCTTTTTAGTCTATTTATCGATTACTTATTAGCCCATCTTTTTCCGGTTCACCACAGACGGTTGCGGTTATCATAACGGCGTCATAAATCCTACGGTACGTACTTCATCATACTGTACCCTGCCATACGATCATTGCGTTTGACATTACCCAATCTCCTCAGTGGGTCTCTCAGTTTTCGATATTTCATAAGTACTGTCACTTAATGAGAAAAAGTCACTTTTGTCCTAATGCCATGCATATAACGAATGACTCATCCAGCCCAGATTTCGTGACGCATTTCATCACCCCAGCGCCATTTAAGCAGACCATGGCTCAATGGAATTTTGACATCTGCAGTGCCAGATGCATCTCGCGTTATTTTGCGCGCTATAGCCACCGCGCATTCGTCAAGAACGATACTTCAGGAGTTGGGGATACTCCGTCTGTTTCACTGCAGTAACATCGCAATATTTTCATACGCTAGAATCATGTTAACTACCGATGACGCATAAGACTCCAAGACCAAGTTTTATGAAGCTAAATCCTTCATATTTATATCGTTACCGTGCAAATTGATGTCGAGCAACGGATTCGTCCGTCACCTGGTCACATGATTATCTGCACGAACGGTAAGGAAAAGTTCTTCCCTGAACTCATTTTCGACCTTTTGACCGAACCGAATTAACATCGCTTATCATTGGCAATTATCCTGCTATGATAACCGATATCAGTTTGGTCGAAATGTTGGCTCTGCATTAAATAAAAAATTTACTTCTTGTCTTTCCTATTGCCAACGTCGAAATCAAAGGTGCATTAGGAAGTACACGAGGGTACAAAATACAGTATGGATACGATATAAAAAACGATGAAGAAGTACGCATGAGCAATTATTGTACAGTATGAAAAGAAATGGGTCATTTTCAGAAGAATTGGGATTATTTCAGCAGTTTAGATACTCTTTCGCAGCAAAAGTCTAGCGCCCTTTCCAGTGGTGAAGTTTTTAACTGTTTGTTTGCGTCGAATACTTTTCTTGGTCAGTATATATGGAAATATCGGTTGATCATGCCCTGGAGTTGTCTGAGTTTTCGATTTGCACAGAGATGAAATTCTCTGAGGTTAGCCATTGAAATTTTTCAGGCAGATTGTCAATACAAGTGAAGATATTAGGTACTTTGAAAGACTTCCAAATTGATGAGATTCGATTAACCTCGAAACACCCTACCTTTGGAATTGCTGCTTCTCATAATCGAGTTCCCAAAACTACCAAGGCTTGAATACGCGGTTTGTAAGTGTACAAACTATTACTAGATTGCAAAGTGAAGCAATGCCCGGAACTACAATTACTCGAGTCTCTAAGTGTTCTTGTTGCTTCTCTGCCATTTGCCTTACTAAGACTCCATTTGGTCATCGTATCGTTTGGCAGTCTGAAAGGAAGAGAGTCGTCAGGTAAATTTTTTTACTGAGCATCACAGACACATGCTCAGAATGTCGACCGAGGTCTGGCGAGATGGTTTCAGAGTATGTGGAATGCGTTTCAGAGTATGTGGCATTCTTTCACCTCTAAATATAATCCCATACATTCGTTCCATTGCTGGGGAACCGGAATCATCAGGAATGCTCACTGAATCTTTGGTCCAATTCGAAATCCAAAAGCAGAAGCGGAATGCAACAATGATAGAATGTGATATTTTCGATACACCGGGAATTTCGAGATTAAGTCATGGTGATCTCTGGTTCAGCGGATTTCATTCGTCGCTTCTGCGTGTGCTGCCAAAGTTAATTTAAAGATTAAATTTAATATCAGGTGTAAAGTTTTTCACCTACCAATTTTGGAACTTGATTCGACTGCTCTATGCGTTGAATGAACCCTGCTTTCGATGCAAATTACTTCCATCTTTTCAAATCGTTTGAATGCAGATTTCGGGGAATCGTTTATTAGTTTAATTGTTGTTTCATATTTTGCAGTAATAATTTGATTAAAATATGCTAATAAAGCAAGTAGGTGATGGCTATATAACATTCGCAGTAAGGAGAGAATCCGTACCGTGTTTTGCTCCATTATTCGCTAGGTGGTCGTCGTCGCTGTCACCTGAACATAGCCATGTTCGGTGTTGTGTTGCTGCTTCTCCTTTCGCTTGGCTCAGTGTCAGCAGGAAATGCTGTGACTCAGGTAACGTGTGGTTTAAAAATCATGTTTAGACATGGAAGGCCTCAGTGTACTTTACTGTACTAATTCCCTCAAATATGGCGTAATGTGTTGATAAACTGCTTGATACAGTGGTAGTCACAAGTATGCATAGCAAGAAGCTTTGGAACGATTGGCAACATCACATTCCATGATGTTACGAAACGTATCATAATTGTTATTAGTTATGCATAACGTATTGTCTCTTTAAACGACGTGAATGCGCTCGCCGTTTGGTAGAGCAAGTGCCTGGAACCATTGATATCCTCCATACTTCTGCAACGACCAGATGACTAGCAAACAAATGTTGTTCTGCTGCTCTCTGCCTTCTACGGAGTCATGCTGCTCAGTCGGTAGAACGTCGGACAGGCAGTAACAAGGTGTAGCGTTTTATCCGGCCATTTTGTCCGTCCAAGGTACGTAACTGAGTACAACTGCGCGCTACTCTAGTCACCGAGCCCATAACCGAAAAAAACACGAATCTTTTGGCTGATGTAGCATAAACGAAGATTAACTCTATACCATAATTTACCTCATCAGCTTTATGCATGAAGACTTGGTGCCAAACCATGAAAGTAAAAGGACAGGACGAGATTGACACGTGAAGGGTTACACACATTCTTTACTTTCGCCTCTCATCACTACAGTGAAAACTGCCATTTTAATAAGGAAGCGGTTCAGCTCGAAGAGTCGTGGTGATGCGTGTGAAGCGTATCACCTCCGATAAAATATCTTGTTCGAGCATTGCTCTGTTCAGTTTCGTGTCGTTAAGGAATGACGTATGCAACGTCATTGTTTCATATTATTGTGTATCACTGTTTTCTCTAATATATTATGCGATGGTTATTCATTTTTGTTATGAGAAACTAAATGAAAGAAAATATAAATACTGATGTCTAATATCTTGGAGAACTTGGTGTACAAAGTAATAAGTGTTCTACAAAAACGCTTTCAACGGAATCTAAGCGTTGGATTTCCAATAACATTTGCAAACATTATTTTGTGTAATTTAATTTTTTCATGCATCCGAAAGCATTTAAATGCACTGAGATCAACCACGACCCCGGCATTATAACGGAGACTCGTCATCCAAAAGACGGGAGGCTAGGTACAGCATGTCTCACCATACAGCACGTGTAATTCGCCACTTTCAGAAGTAAGATCGTTGCCGATCTTGTTTGAAATTCTGCAGTGGTTGGCATTTCTTGAATCTAAATGCAACTGTTTAAATAATTAAAAAGAAACAGTCTTTAAACAAATATTTAAATAAGCTTTTTTTTGTGAACCTCAACCGTACATAAGTGTTTTGTTATCTGCTGTATTGTTTACTGGAGTCAGAATGTCACATTATAATAACGGCAGCTGCGTTGCCAAGAGGAAGGTCCTCTTGAACACTACTTGAAAATATCAGGGACACGTTAATAGCTACCTTTATTAGAGTTAGGTTTCGTTCGACGGTTGATTCGTTTTCATTTAGAATAACCCGGTTTGTTCCGACCTACTTGACTGCTACGCCAGAGCCATACAGCTAACCAAGAAGTGCTATCGCAGCAAGTCACAGGAATTGAGAGCTGAAACGAACGACAGCTGTGATAGCAACAGTCTGCGTCAGGAGGTGGCATCGATCTACATCGCTGATCGCTACAGCAAGATCGCCAGTTGTCTGAAGGGCCGTCCTTCACAAGCGGTCAAGGTAGTTTTGCGTAATGTTCGAGAGCGATTGTAAGCGCCTTTAAGTCCGCTTGTACCTTGCCGGTTAACGCCGTCATCCACTTATCCGTGTATCCCTTCATTCGCTCAGTCGTCTCTCATTCAGCGAATCACTTCATCAATTCACCAGCCATTTTAGTCTTATAACCTGTCCTCCGTTTCTTATTGCAGGGGGCAGGAGGCTCCGCAGATTTTCTCAAAGGTTCTCTTGTCGCACGCCCACCATTTAGGATAATCAAACAACTGCACTCCAAGGCGCGACGCATTCTGATGTTCAGGATACTCAGTATAATGGAGCAGTCTGACTTGTGGTCTGTCCGTGGATTACGTACCATGTTGCTTTCCGAGGAAAATTCATTCTCTGAGTCTCTG